ACACCGTGAATTCCTCAGGGAGGTGCCAGCCTCATCCTCTTGTAGTTCCCATGCTCTTGCGGTGAACTAAGAAAATGCTTATCTCCCTGAGCTTGGCCTTCATCATTCCATTCTATCACAGTATGCCACAAGCATACTGAACCTAAGCCCTGGCTACCCCAAACATGCTAGAGCTATGGTGTACAAGGTAGGATCTCTTATCTGGATACTATCTTGCAAGGCAATGTACTGTGGGGTGCCACATCTACCAACTTGGAGGTACTTGCAATACATTGACACTGGATGTGTGTGTTGGGGGGGGGGGGTGTCAGGCTGGCCATGTGAATTTTGAAGGAGTTTTCCATATATATTTGAAATAATTTGTTTCACTTTTCTAACTATATCAAAACGAGACAATAGCAGAAGTATATATTAGCTTTCTTTGGTTATGTTATTTTGTACAAATTCTGAGCCATAGGCTTAACTTGAAGATTCTTGTACTTGCTTCAGGGCTGTACACTTCTTTGTTCACATCCGTACAACTGTTTCTGAACAAAACTCTCCTTCTACTGTCATGGTGGGCACTTTTTCATTTAATAACATCACTGCTAGAGAGTCATACCATTCTCCCCTAGTAGCTGTCAGCTGGAGCAGCCATGGTATCAGGCTGATTTTTTTTAGCAACTCCTTGACTTCAAAGGGGTGTTTCACAAAGTTTTATGACATCCCTTGATTGCTCAGCATGGCTGTTTGAAGAGTTCCAATATTGTCTCTATGTGCATGTGCAAGCCTTGTCAACAATTATACTCAGGCTGCAAGCAAAGTAATTAGGCATGCAGAGCTAAACTGGAAAAACCTTCAGTGACTGCAGAAATAAATTTTTGCCCCTAACCTGGACCTTCAGGTCTTCCAAAAATACACCCATTACTGCTATCATTGAGTTCTTCCTCATTTTTCCTTCTACTTCTCCCAGCATTAGAGTCTTCTTCAGAGAACTAGGCATTCACATAATGTGTCCAAAGAAGGATAATTTAAGCCTGGTCATTTGTGCCTCAAGCAAGAACTCTGGATTGATTTGTTCAATGATCTATTGTCCCTGGTATTCTCAGGAGTATTCAAAGTTCAAAAGCATCAATGCTCTTTCTATCCTTCTTCATCAAATTTAAATTTAGCTTCTACAGAATGTCACAAGGAATACCATTGTTTGCACTATTCAGCATGTAGTTTGAATAAATAAGGAGAAACTATATAGCCATGCTTTACTCCTTTGCTGACCTGGAACCAGTCTGTTTAACAAGGTTCCATCTGGACTATGACTTCCTGACAGTGTAGAAAAAATAAAATCAGAAAATTAAACTTAAATCATTAACCACTCTTACAGATTTTTTAAAGGCAGAGAGAGTTAGGACTAAAGACAACCCCCAAGGGACTCTCTTCCCTACTTGAAAGAACCCAGAAAGCTCTGTCCTATGTGCCAAATACATGAGTCTCTGGAAACAGGGGCATTTCAAAAGGACCTGCTCTGGATATCTTAATGGCCAAGCAAGCAGGTTTACAGTTGGAGAGATGATACCTCAATCCCCTTAGATAACTAGAGATACCACATAATGTTTTAATTTAGATCAAAGCTTTAGAAGCAAACTTTAATAAAAGAAAAAAAACCTGCAGCATATTCAGAGGCTGGGATTTATTATTACCAAAAAGAAAAAAAATCTTGAAAATAAAGAAAATAATGAAAATAAAAGGGAAAGGAAAAAAAGTAAAAGTAAAAGTAAAATGTGGCCCTGTTCAGGTGTGTAATGGGAACCTTTGCATGGCCCCAAAGGTCAGTGCAGCTTTTAGCTGAAGGAAGCATTCATTCTCCAAAGAGAGGCAGTGTGGGGTAGTGATTATGGAGGGAGGGAGATATAACAGGGTGTGTGTGTGAATGCATGCATGTGTGTATGTATGTCTGTGGGTGTGTATGCATATATATGCATGTGTGTGTGTGCGTGTGCGTTCATGTGTGTGTATATATATATATAAACGCTTTAGTAAAACTATAAACAGAAGTATTGTGAGCAATAGTAAAAGGAGGAGAAAAAAAGAATACACTTGCTTGTCCTTTACATTTTTTGGAGTCTGCAAAAATCAGATTTCTGTACCATTTGTGATTGGAATGATTTTTTGCAAGAGTGTGTGAATCAGGTCTGAT